AGGATTTTGAGACACGACATCAGGAGAAACTCTTCTCTTTTTGAAAAGTGTCATGGATCTTTAAATTCCACCTGAAGAACAGGCAGCGAGGACCACAGTTTAATTTCCAGCTGACAGATAGCTTCTCGACAATGCAGTGCTCTCTATCGCAGCAGCGCTAGTCATGGGGTTTGAGTTTGCAGAAGAGGCCATTTGGTGTATCAAAATTCAAAGGAAACCACACCAGAAACCAAATATCACTGAAAGCTGAAATACCCATAGGTGCAAAAGTCACCTTGGTTATAGTAATGCTTTTAGCATTACTGTTTTGAGAGTTTTACTTAATAGTTAGCATTGGTATCTGAATTACAGTGATAGGGAGAATTTAATGAAGCATTCTAAATGCTCTTCTGTAACAGATCACAAAGCGAGGCACTCAAACGTATACTTCCACCACCAGAATACATGAGAAGATTGCACTGAGGAAATTTATATGCAGTATTTATGAATAACACAACTGTGTGTTGCTGCTGGAATTTCCCAGGGAGTTGCAGATTGACTGAGTTAATGGAAACGGTATTTTTTATTCACTTGACATTTGAGGCGTGCATTTGGCAATCAAGCTTATTGCTAATTGCTGATTAACCCTGAGCCTTCATGAAAGTACAGTTTTAAACTAAAAATAAGAGTGGGCAGGGAAGGAAAAAAATACAGACAGAGACACCAAGAGAGAGAGAGAGAGACACACACACACACACATGACACAACACACATACGCACAGTGTAGGCGGTAATGTGTACCCATTCAATCCCTGACAGTCTTATGGTGTGTACCTGTCCATCCAATTTCTAGTAGAGAAATTGATAACTTTGTTCTTCTGAATCAAAGGATTTAAAATTCGGGTCTCCCAAATCTGAAGTTCAAACTTGAAAGTGGTGGAATGTAATTAAAACTGTTAATATTCTTACCCACACTCACAAATCTAAGATTCAAGGTCTGAGGCTGATATTAACAGAAAGGGCTCAGCCAAAGTCTCAGTCTCACAGCCAAGTGGAGCTTTAAGCACTGTCCTAGTACTGAATATTATTGCTCGTACTGCGAGCAGAATGGATTTGCGCTCAGTCTACTCTCCAAACGAGAATAATGCTTATAGCAGCTCATTTCAAAACAATGTGGTCAATTTTGTGGTATTTTCTAAGCAGGTTTATAAAGAGATCTGTGTGCCAATTTAGACATGATACTCCAACACAATTTTCAGAAGGAAGTTCCCTTAAATCTACTTTACCGTATGAAGCATTTCCAGCAGATTAACTTTTAAGAATCTTGTTCTTACCTGCAAGTGCTTCCGATAATATTGCCCCACCTGATCTCTGAATGCCCACATCCTCCGCTACACCAACTCAGAAAGAACATTTGTCGGACAGTAAACTGTCGACTGACAAAGCTGCTCAACTTTTATAAGGCTTTTTCAGTTTTGCTGGAGCTCAGACAAGTATCTGGTATGAAAGGTCACGGAATTTAATGAGAAAATGACTTTTGGAAGTGTGCCCGTTTTTAAAATAGTTTAACAAAGAAATTATACTTAGCAACGACATTAAGAAGTTCGTCAGACATTCTGCCGTTTAACTTTTTTCAACTGAACGTTGATAAAACTGAAGACATTCTGTTCAGTTCACGTAGGCACCTCTAGTGAGGACTGCATTTGGCTGCTCACTACCTTATCTCGGCATTTTGTTTAACCTCAGCTCTTCTTTAAGTCTTTCATCCAGTCCTTGACCAAGTCTGCCTTCATGCACCAACACCATCCCCGTCTCAAGCTCAATGCAGCTGAAAGCCTTATTCATGCCTTCGACTTCTCCAGATTTGAGTTCTCTAATGCTCTCCTTACTGGCCTTCCCAGCTTCACCCTCCACAAGCTCTAAATCATCCAGAAATCTGCAGCCTGTACCCTCTCCTGCACTAGACTCTATAAATGTATCCCCACCACATACAGTGACCTCCGTTGCAGATTTCAAAGCAACAGACTCTGAGATCCTCATCTGACTTTCAAATGCTTCCATGCATTTGCCCTTTCTCGATCTCTGTGATCCCAACATCAACCCATATCAAGCTGTCCGCTCCCTCTGCTCAGCAGAGTGTAGCCTACTCCACGTCCCCTGCCCGGCCTGCCCCAAGATCAGCAGTTGGGCCTTTAGTTTTTCTGTCCCCACCTGATGGAACTCCATCCCACATTCCCTCCTGTTCAACCATGCCTTTGGCCACCCTCCTACCCTCCTCGATCCCGACCCCCAGCTCGGGTCCCAATCCCTGACTGTCCAGCACCTTGGGGCGTCCTCCCGATGTGAAAGGCGCTATACAAATGTAATTTTGTATTGTATCTCCTGCAGTCCTTCTCGTCTGTGCTCTCCCTTCACTCTACTAACTCAGGCCTGTTCCACATCCCCCACCAACACCATCTTCCCTCTCCACTTTCAACATCCTTTTAAAATCCTACTTCTTTGACTATACTTTTATATACCTTCCTCTTAACCCACTATTGTCCACCCTGCTCAATTCCCATTCTACATCTGTGAATTTTAGGGTACATCCCAAGGCATTGCAGTCAGACCTCATTGTAACACAGCACTTTTGGTCCATTAAACCAATTCCTGCATTATAACGGGTCACGCTATAAATTGGTCACTGCTTTCAGATCACAGATCATTCAGCCATGCTACATGCAGAAAGCCGACAATCACTGTCGCGAGTGGTTCCAGCAGTTGTTGTGAGACTGCAAGACATCTTCGGCATCTGCATGTTACGCGTAGGAAGCTGTCACAGGTCCATGGTCAGCCAGCCTACAAAGTAACCAGTATACCAAAATGTGATATAACAGGTTCTGACTATATTCGTTTAGAGCAGGCTGGAATGGGTTACCAGCTGGTTAAGACCAGCACCCTGAACTCATTTTTTTTAAAAAAAACTGCTGGATGCTATAGGAAAACGGAAAGGTTGGGATTCTAGATGAATATAATAAATAATCCTTCCATTTGATATACAGCCCATCACATCGTCATAACATCTCAAAGCGCCTCACAGGATTTAACGTGAAGTGCAATGACTGTATTTGTAGGCAAACGCGGCAGCTAATTTCTATAAAACATATACTAATTTCAATTTAAGTACTCTGAGACTCCACCCATGTGAAGGGCACTATGTAAATGCAAGTTGTTGTATAGTAATGTCCTACAATAGCCATGCAGTCAATATTATTTTTTTTAAATCTGTGAGATTGTTTGCAGAACACCGAGATAAACTTCTTTCTTTTTTCAAATAGTACCGTGGGATCTTTAACCTCCACCTGAACAAGCAGATGGGATTGCAGTTTCAATGTCTCTTCCAAAGGACAGCACCTCCAACAACTACAACTGTATGATTATTTTTAAATCTGGCCTGAATTGAAACTGGTTTATTGAGCCAGCTGGAGCACAGTCAATGGTCAGCTTAGTTTATAACAAAGGAAGTTACAGCATCTCCTTTTGATACTCCCTTTGCAGGCAAATCAATAGATGAAATGTGTTTGTACACAATGAAAATGTTTGAAGTGTAAGATGCTTATTTTTATCCATGGCATTACAAGGACAAAAAGGTAAACAAACTAAGGACAAAAAACTAAACAAACTAAGTGTTTGCATTTTGTTAAAACCCTTTCAATCACAGCCCTTTAGGAAATATCTTTTATTAAACACACTGTTCTTAAAACCTGCTTCCTATAGGACAGAGAACTGATAAGAGTTGTGCTTTTTAAACACTAGGCAGTACAACAACAGACACCTATATCAGCTGTCTTTCACTGTTGACTCAGTGACAGACAATTTTGAGTCATAGATTGTGGCAGGAACTTTTATCCTGACATCTCCATAACATTGAAAATGTTCCGGATTGCTAGTAAACCTTAACACAAAGTTTGCCAAAACTGAAACTAAGAGAGTAAGGAACACTTACGTTTAGGGTCAGGCGCAGGGGAGGGGGGTGGAGGGGGTTCTTCTCATTGAAGCATAAAACAGACTTCCAAAGCATGAAATGGGTTTTGCTATCATAGCCCCCCAAAATCAGGAAAACCGTGAACTTCTGAGCTTTCGACCACAATGTAACCAGATTCCCCAGTGACTACATTCACACGATGCTTCAGTGATATAGCTGCTTACACAAAGCTCACACTTCATTAGCAAGGGCTAATAATAGGTGTTCGTAGCAACACATCCCGATCAATGGTCTGCACTTCTGAAGAGTCGGTGCCCACAAACAAACAAATAAGCAATGTGGATACTCCAGTTGAATTAGTCAGTAAAATTGTCTGCATTTATTAAACTGATAAGATGCATTTCCCTTTCTGAGCATGGAGCAGTGTAAAGTGGAGCGGAATGAAGATTAGAGCATTGATTAGGTCCCTGTGGTTTGGTTTGCATTTTTAAATCTTTGTGATGCAAAAAGAAATGGAGGGGTGTCCGACATCCATTTAAGCTTGTTAAATAATAATACTTGCATTTGATATAGCGCTTTATCACGTCATTGAGACAAATCAAAGCGCTTCACAGAATATATTGTAAAGTGGAATGACTGCATATTTTGTGGGCGAAATGTAAAAATAACCTCCCTTACCCACCCCACACCCCGCATTCCCCAGACAATATAATAATCCTTGCATTTGATGTTGCGCTTTATCATGTATTCAAAACGTCTCAAAGCGCTTCACAGAATATACTGTAAAGTGAATTTGACTGTAAGTTTTGCGCACAGCAGCGTCCCACAAACTGCGGTGGATCTGAATTTAAGAGGTGACTGCAGGTCTCACTGTTTATATAATAACAATCCTTGCATTTGATTCAGCGCCTTATCACATCGCTGAGACGTCTCAGGGCTTCACAGAACATAAAGTATATAGATTGTATAATCTGTGGGCGAATGATCTGAAGAGAGCAGCACTGCTGAGGACTGAGGGGATGGGGTGAAAGCGTGTAACTTGCTGTTGTTCCCTTAC